AGTAGGTGTCAGTTATATAACATTATAACAAAGGAAGAGTTTGACCAAGAGTTCTCTGTTTTCTAATTTTATTTGAAAGAAAAGTTTTTATTTTTTTAATTCACTGCTCCTAAGAATGAAAAGTGCATGATGTGATTTTTTTATCACCTACTAATTCAGTGCTTACCACATTATCTAACCATATGCTTTTCCACTTTATGTTCTATTTTTGTTTGTTCAAAATATAATTATTAAAGTTTTTTTGTATTGTTGAAATAGTATTGAATGGAGCATAGTCAAGATTTTCATAGCATTTGTATAAATAGGTAAAGCCTGGAAACAAGAATATATTTTGAAAGTTTTCTCTAATGACCTTGTCAAAAGGTCTTGCCAACTTCATTTAATAGGATTGATGATCAATTTGAGAGACATTTCAGGAGTTGTATGAGGCAGTATTTGAGGGGCCAGAGGAGATAATTACAATATTAAAGACTTTCCCCCCTGAGTAGTAAAGTGGATAATATGTCAATAACTAAGCTAGGAAAAGCAAGTCAGAGGAAATTAGTTCTATTTTAGAGAAACTATGAGGTTTCAGGACTCACAGGTTACCTCGTCCAGTCATCCTTATTTTCACAGATGTGGAAATGAAGGTCCTAAGAAATAAAATGTGTTCTCTTTGATATCACAACTTAAATTAGAGTTAAAACTTCAATACAACTTCCCATAAAACAAGTGCCTCTACTCAAAACCCATCTTTCTTAGTATCCCAGGACCTCTTTGTGGTACAGGATTCGTGTACTTTAGAGAAGTTGAACTTGTAATGGCACAGCAACCCTCCAGTTTTGCCGTTTGTTAGTTCTGAAGGCCTTCTCCACGAGGCAGGACTACCACACCCTTTTTCTTACACCTTTTTATCAATTTTGTCATCACCGGTTGGGTCATTTGGGCCATTATTTATTCCCATTTTCTGCCTCATTAGCTGTTTTCCTGGATATGTGATACCTTATCACAAAAATGTTAAACCATCAATTGCTCATATTCAGGGTGAGGTTGAAGAGAATTAAAACCAGACCATGAGAATCATAATATGACATGAGTATAACCTCCCTGAATTCAGAGAACAACTGAAGAACAGATTTGCTACATGGAACCTTCACGACTGGAGGTCTGACGAGCTGTAGGATGACATCAAAGAATGCCATACAGACAGAAAGCAAAGGGCGTGAAAAGGACATAAAAAAGAAAAGATCAAGGTGGGTGTCAGAAGAAACTGAAGCTTGCTCTTGAATTGTAAATTAGTAGCTAAAGCAAGTTGAAGAAGTTATGAAGTACAAGCTGAAGATCTAGTATTAATAGTGAAATGTACAAAGACCTGGGATTAGAAAGCCAAAAGGAAGAACATGCTCAGTCTTTCTCAAGATGACAGAACTGATGGAAAATTCAAGTCTTGGGTTGAAATACTAAAGGATTCTGTGAATAAAATATTGAATGATACAAAAAAATATCAAAAGAACATGGAAGGAATACACAGTCACTAAGCCAAAAAGAACTAGTCGACATTCACCCATATGAACAAAAACCAGTGCTGCCGAAGGAAGAAGTCCAAGCTACACTGAATGCGTTAGCCAAAAACAAGACTCTAGGGAGTGAGTTGTTGAAATGTTTCAACAACCCGATGAAGCACCGGCAGCACTCATTCATCTCTCTATGCCAGGGAATTTGAGAGACATCACTTGGCCAGCTAACCACAAAAGATCCACATGTGTGCCCATTCCAAAGAAAGGTGACCCGGCAGAATGCAGAAATTATTGAACAATATGATTAGTGTCACATGGCAAGTAAAAAAAA